AAAAGATTTATTGGGTGGTATTGGGGGTTGAGTTCAGGGCCTTCTCCTTGCTAAGCATTTGAGCAGCATTACCAACCCTTTTTGTTTTTGTCATTTCTCTGATAGGATGTTGTGTCATTGCCTGGAATAAGCCTGAGATCTTGAAGTTCCTTTATAGCAGGAGTGATAGCATGGACCATCATATCCAGTGGAGGTTTGGGGGGGAGTCTCACTAACTTTTTTTTTCAGTATGGCCTCTGACCACAGACCTCTTCTGCTTCTCTATTGCTGTGATTGCAGGCATGAGGGACTTTGCCCAGCTTTTGATTTCTTGTTTTCAATAATGAAATATTTATCCTGAAAAGGACAGTTAGCACATAACTACTAACCATCAAGAACTAATATATATTAACATATTGTCATATTTTTTCTGATCTTAATTTATGGTATAATTTTTGAAAAATAAATGCTTAGCTGGACATGGTGACTCATGACTATAATCCAAGCTGTGATTGGGAAGCTATGATCAAGGTTCATGGCCAGGCAGGGAAAAAGTTGGCAAGATCCCATCTCAATAGGACAAGCACAGTGGCTTATTATACTTGTCATTCCAGCAATCAGGAAGACCTTAGGTAAGAAGATTGTGGTCTGAGGCCATTCCCAGGTAAAAATGTAAAATTCTACCTAAAAAATAACTAAAGCAAAAAAGTGGCTCAGGGATGGCTCAGGTGGAAACATCTGCTTAGCAACCAGAAGGCCCTAAGTTCAAACACCAGTGCTGCCAAACAAAAGTGAAATAAGTTAGATTCAAACTATTTTTTAAACACTTCCTTTATAAAGGTATTTTGTTGTTGTTGTTTGTTTGTTTTTTGACAGCTGTGGTGCTTGAACTCTGGGCATAGGCGTTGTCCTTGAGCTCTTCAGCTCAAGGCTAGCTCTCTACCACTTGAGCCACAGCACCACTTCTGGTTTTCTGGTGGTTAATTGGAAATAAGAGTCTCATAGACATTCCTGACCAGACTGGCTTTGAACCTTGATCCTCAGATCTCAGCCTCCTGAGTAGCTAGGGTTATAGGAGAGAACCACTGGTGCCTGGCTGACATCTTTGGGGTGGGAAGGTGCTTCAGTGGTAAAGTATTTGCCTTGTATGCATGAGGCCCTGGGTTTAATTCCTCAGCACCACATAAACGGAAGAAGCCGGAAGTGGTGCTGTGGTTCAAGTAGTAAAGCATTACCCTTGAGCTGAAGAGCTGAGGGACAGCACCCAGGCCCAGAGTTCAGGCCCCACCACTGACCAAAAAAAAAAAAAAAGCCATCTTTTTTCATAGATTATTTCTATGGCTGGCTCTTTCAATTTAGGTAGAATAATAGTTCGGTACTCTGGTAAACACTAGGCACTGCCAAGTGGAAAGTTTACTGTTCTTTGTAAAGTAAATAGAAAGTGACGAGATCTGTACCATTTGCTTTGTCCAGAAAGTTAAATATCACCAATTGATTCAGCCCAGATTCAATCCCCAATTTGAACTGTAAGCATTTTGGTTTGCTATACTTCCGCACAGAGGAAAGTAATTATAGACAGGGGAGACAGGTTTTTGTTTCTGTTTTTTAAAGGTTAGGTCCAGATCAGTAGGTGTTTTTATTGATTGATTGATTGCATATGTGTGTTGTGGGGTTTGTTTTTTTGTTTGTTTGTTTTGGTGCTGGTCCTGTACTTGAACTCAGGGCCTGAGCACTGTCCCTGAGCTTTTGTGCTCAAGGCTAGTGCTCTACCACTTGAGCCACAGCTCTACTTCTAGCTGTTTGCTGGTTAATTGGAGAGTCTTAATAGATTTTCCTGCACTGGCTGGCTTCAAACCACAATTCTTAGGTCTTAGCCTCCTAAATAGCTAGGATTTGAAGCATGATCTACTGTACCAGCTCATATCAGTAATTTGGGATTGTGTAGAAAAACATTGAAGGCATATTTTGGAAGAATACTTTTGTCTCCTTGGTATTGCTTTGCTTTGCTGAGTATTACCTGGTAGAATGTTCATTTGCTAGGGATTGTAAATTCAGAATGGGCCTAATCATGGGGCAGTTTATGTGGTCACAGGATTCTACTCTTAAAAAGATGAGGAGAAAAATTACACACAGCAGAGAGGTAACAATGGAATTTCCAGAATGTTTCAAAGGACAACCCTCCTGTACCCACGTCCCTACCCAAGTTCTCAGGATCCCTAGTTATACATTCTAAATACTGATGTACTCCCTGAAACCATAGCAACGTGATCAGAGCCCCTGAGGCCAAATAAAACAGATCTCCCTCCCTCCTGCTTTCCTTTCTTCTCTTTCTGTGCCTCTCCCTCCTTCTCAGGACCTGGCCATTTAAGCTACTCAGGCTGCTCCAAACTCACCATCCTTTAGTCTCTAAAGTGCTAGAATTACAGATATATACCACCAGATCTGGCTTGTAGAGAAGTTTAAAATATTCTATAGAACCAACCTCTTTCTCTTCCCTCTTTCTGCTCTCTCCTCCCTCTCTCCTGTCTTCTCTCTCTCCTCCCGGTCTTCTCTTTCTGTCACGTTGGCTTGAACTCAGGGCCTGGTTGTGGTCCCTGAGCTCTTTAGCTCAAGGCTAGTGCTCTACCACTTTGAGCCACAGCTCTATTTCTGGTTTGTTGGTGGTTAATTGGAGATAAGAACCTCACAGACTTTCCTGCCTGGGTTGGGTTTGAACCGTGGTCCTCAGATCTCAGCCTCCTGACTAGCTAGGATTACAGGCATGAGCCACCAGTACCTGGCTATAAAACCAATCTCTTTTATCCCAGCTTTTACTTTTTTGAATAGAGAGTATATAAATATAAGGGGTGGGGATATAGGGTTGGACAGAGTTTTTACACCAAGTATATTTGTTATGAGAGGAAAGTGGAAATAAAATAGGTGGTCTGAAGAGGACCTGAGGTATATGTGAAGAAGAGGTGACAGACTGAGCTTCGAGGGGTGATAGGAGTCCAGGCAAGAAGGAAAGGAAATTTTAGGTGGAGGTATTTGTATCGAAAGGTATAGAGAGCCACTAGTTTGAACCATAAGCACTTTGGTATGGCCAGTACTTTGGCACAGAGTAGAAGTAATTATAATTGGGCTCATGTATGTAATTCTGGCTACTTAGGAGGTAGAGATCTGAGGATCCTGGTTCAAAACCAGCCCAGGCAGGTAAGTCTGTGAGATTTTTTTCACCAATTAACCACCAAAAATCCAGAAGTGGAGCTGTGGTTCAAGTGGTAAAGTTCTAGTCTTGAGCACAAAAACTCAGCCAGCATCCAGGCCCTGAGTTTAAGCCCCCGGACTGGCATACGTGTGCCTACACATACATACAGACAGACAGACAGACACACAGACACACAGACACAGACACACACACATACATAGAGTAATCATAGATCAGACAGGACTAAAAAAAATGGGTTATGTCCAGATCAGTGATTTGGATTTTATCCCATAGTGATGTATTCTATAGTTCGATAATCATATTTAAGAACTTTGAAAAAAAAAGAGTCACTTGGATTAGTGTGTAGGAGGCTAGGGCTATGTAGAACTAGGGACAAACAAACACTATGACAACTCTATCAATAGTTTTCACCAACAACCCCCATTTGACTGGGGACATCCTGGAGGTGATACAGAGGAGGAGACACATTTAAAAGATAATTCAAAGCTGGGTGCCCGTAGCTCATGCCTATAATTCTAGTTACTCAGGAGGATCTGAGATTGTAGTTTGAGGCCAACCAGGGCAGAAAAGTCCCTCAAAAACCAGAAGTGGCTCTGTGGCTCAAAGTGTTAGAGTGTTAGCCTTGAGCAAAAGAGCTCAGGAACAGCATGCAGGCCTTGAGTTCAGGCCCCACAACCACCACCACCACCACCACGAAAAGATATTCAAGGAGGTAAATTGATAGGACTTAAAGTTGCTAAACCCTCTAAAGAACAGAAAAGACAATCATTCAGGGTGTTTCAATGAGTGGAAGTGTGCAACTGAGTTAGAGAACAATTCCAGAGAAGCAGGTTTAGAAAAGAGAGTGAGTTTAGCTTGGGACACTGGCTTTAAGCTGCCTGTGGGACCTATAGCAAGCTCTCTGGCAGGCTTCAGGACTTGTCTGTTTTGGAGGCACTGGTGTATAACTGAGGATGAGGTCTTTTCTCTCCCCAGCTTTAGGCACAATGCCTCATATTTAAGGTAGTGCACATTGTGAGGTGAATGGATTGTCTTTCTTAGGTGATCTTGAACTTGGGGAAATAATTCCTTTTTTCCAGACCTGTGTTTCCTTTTCTATAAATAAGAGTTTAACCAGATCAGTGGGTTTCTACTGTAGTTTTGTAATGGTTTAGTATGTTGGACTCAATTTTGAGATATAATAAGTAATTTTTAACTAACAAAGAGTGATATTTGAGCTGGGTGTGGTGGTGTATGCCTGTAATCCCAGCACTTGGGAAACAGAAGCAGGAAGTTGCTAGTTTAAGGACAACTTGGGTTCCATAATGAGTTTCAGGATAGCTACTGAGTAGCACCTGTCACAAGGAAAGAAAAGAGACGAGGGAGTGGGGGCTGATATTTGCTCACCTTTTGAATGAAAGTTGATTTCTCTCACTCAAACTGTGTTCCATTGTGATGAATGTGAAGCACTGAATTATAGTCCTACAGTCTGCTGGAATTTCTTTTTCATTTTTTAAATTTAGAAAATACTTCATTCGTTTCTACGATCAAGCCCATATAAATGCACATAGTTAACATGTTATGTTACTCCTCTACAAATGCAAAAGAAACTTAAGGTTAGCAGTTCCAGATCAGCATGGGGAACTCAACATGGCAGTCTGGAATAGTGCTTCACAACTGCATCTAGAAGCGAGGGTGTCACACAGGAGTGGGGTGAACATAAAATGACCAGTACTGTACTAAATGGTAGGACTTAACAACCAAAAAGTTTCTTTATTTTGATATCTAGGAGTTGTTCTGATTTAGATAATCATTGCTATTTTTGCAACTTCAGGAACTCTATTTTAAGAAACTTTCAACAAGAAAGAAACAAGTCATGGAGAAGAATGGGAACAACCGGAAGCTCCGGGTCTGTGTTGCCACTTGTAATCGTGCTGATTACTCGAAACTTGCTCCCATCATGTTTGGCATCAAAACAGAGCCTGAGTTCTTTGAACTTGATGTGGTGGTCCTTGGCTCACACCTGATAGATGACTATGGGTAAGATGAGCATGTTTTCTTATTCTCCACTGCATCTGGATGCTGGAGAGAGCTTGCGTTTTGATAGCCATGTAACCTAGCTTCAAAACCCACTTCTACCATTTAACATTTATGTGGTCTTGGAGAAGTTGCTTCACATTTCTGAGCTCGTTTCTTCTTATAAAACAGTGAGCACTTGTATTATAAGGAATAGAGATTCTGACTTAAAACATCTGTCACAGTGATGCTGCTTAGTAGGGACCAGATAAGTGATTTCTGTATCATTACTATTTGTTATTACTTCAGGAGAAATGCTGCTTTCAAATGTAGGTTGTATGACTATAATAATAGGGTCATCTGTTTTGTGAGCATTTTTGTTGTTATTGTTTGTTTGGTATTGGGATATGAACTCAGGGCTTCATGCAAGCTAAGCATACAATCTACCACTGAGCTCACTATCCACCTCAAGACTATTTTTTGAGTTCTCATGGCAGTTTTTCAAAACTGTGAGAAGCTTACAAAATAGTATATATGGAACATAATTTAAAACATCTAATTGAACTGTCAAATAAAACAGAATATTACATTGCCATGACCGTTGGTGACATTAGATTTATGTTGATCACAGGATATATTTAAAAAATGAAGAATGATCTTTTAGGGTTCAAAATGTAGAAACCACAAATAAACATTAATTTTACTCTAGAGCATTTAGTGCACCCCTGTGGCATGAAAATGTTCATGCAATCTCCAAAGACAGTTGAAAATGGATTATTACGTATGATGTTAAAGGAAAATCAAGCTTCTTCAGACCAAAACCAGGCTTTTAAAAAACTTTTTTTTTTTTTTTTAAGCAAGAAAACCCAAAGCCTGCTTCTAAAAATCAATACATTAGGGCTGGGAAGGTGGCTCAGTGGTAGAGCGCTTGCCTTGCATGCCTGAGGCCCTGGGTTTGATTCCTCAGCACCACATAAGCAAAAAGAAAAAAGCCGGAAGTGGCGCTGTGGCTCAAGTGGTAGAACACTAGCCTTGAGCTGAAGAGCTGAGGGACAGCGCCCAGGCCCAGAGTTCAGGCCCCATGACCGGACCCCCAAAAAAAAAATCAATACATTAATTTGCTCTAAGAAAAATATTTAAAGAGTAGAAAAGAGCCAGGCATTGGTGACTCTTAGACTGTGTTCTAAGGATCATGGTTCAAAGCTACACCAGGCAGGAAAGATTGTGAGACTCTTATCTACAATTAACCACCAAAAAGTGAGAAGTGGGGTGTAACTCAAGTGTTAGAGCACTAGTCTTGAGTAAAAAAGCTCAGGGACAATGCCCAGACCATGAGTTCAAGCCCAGAACCAGAAAAAGAAAAAAAAAAAAAGAATTAAAATGTTAAAATGGAAGCCAGATGCTGGTGTCAAACATTTGTTATCCTAACTACTCAAGAAGAAAAGTCTGTAGGATTTTCATCTCCAATTAGCAAAAGGTAGAAGCATAATTTCAATCATTCAAAAATTTATAGTATAGCGACGTGCAAGACATCCTGGCTTTGTGCAGTATTTTTAAATTTATTTTAAAAAGTTTTTTTTGGTGCTGATCCTGGGGACTTGGAATCAAGGCTAGGGCACTGTCCCTGAGCTTTTGTGCTCAAAGCTAGTGCTCTGCCACTTGAACCAAAGCTCCACTTTTGGCTTTCTTTGGAGGTTAATTGGAGATAAGAGTCTCATAGACTTTCTTACCTAGGCTGGCTTCCAACTTAGATCTCAGCCTCCTGAGTAGCTAGGATTATAGGCATGTGCTACCTGTACCCTGCTTTTTTTTAAAAGGGAGTATTGGGTTTCACCATGTAGGCTAGGCCAGTCTTGAACTTACTATGTAGCCTAGCCTGTGCTGCAACTTGAGATTCTCCTGCCTTAGTCCCCCAAGTCTTGGGCTAACAGGTACATGTCACTGTGCCTGGAAGGGGACAAATTAGCCTTCCAAAGGGCAATAAAGCCTTATGTCAATCTGGATGATGCTGTGGAGGCACTCATGTAAAAAAAATAACCAGGCTAATAAGAACATTTATTGTCTTTGCTCTTTACTTTGTAAGCTATTTTCTATTTATTTATTTGTTTGTTTTGCAAGTCCTGGGCCTCGAACTCCTTTTTTGCTCAAGGCTAGCACTCTACCACTAGAACCACAGCTCTACTTTTTCTGTGATTAATTGGAAATAAGAATTTCATAGTGGCTTTCCTGCCCTGGCTGGTTTTGAGCCATGACCCTCAGATTTCAGCCTCCTGGTTAGCTAGGATTACAGGCATGAGCCACAGGCACCCGGCTTACTTTGTTTTAATAAGTAAAAATTTAAACATGTTTCTCCCTTCAGGGTTAGCATTCGATTGCTTGTCTTAAATGTTAACATGCTCTCATCCTTTTTTTCTCTCCTGCTTTAGAAACACATATCGAATGATTGAACAAGATGACTTTGACATTAACACGAGGCTACACACAATCGTTAGGGGGGAAGATGAAGCAGCCATGGTGGAATCAGTAGGCTTGGCCCTAGTGAAGCTCCCAGATGTCCTTAATCGCCTAAAGCCTGATATCATGATTGTTCATGGAGACAGGTTTGATGCCTTGGCTCTGGCTACGTCTGCTGCCTTGATGAACATCAGGATCCTTCACATTGAAGGAGGGGAAGTCAGTGGGACTATTGATGACTCCATCAGACATGCCATAACAAAACTGGCTCATTATCATGTGTGTTGCACCCGAAGCGCAGAACAACACCTGATATCCATGTGTGAGGACCATGATCGAATTCTTTTGGCTGGCTGCCCGTCCTATGACAAGCTCCTCTCAGCCAAGAACAAAGACTATATGAGCATCATTCGGATGTGGCTAGGTACATGTATCACATTTTATTGACCCTAAAGTTTTTGCCAGAAAGTGTTGAGAATATTTCAGGACTTTTGGAAACTCATAGATATAGTATTCCATTAGCAAGCAGAAAGCCAAGGTTTTAGATCATAGTTTCCACTCTGTTATATGACTTTACCTCTGAAGTCCACCTGTTCTGTAAAATAGGCTTACTGGTTTGTTTAAAAAAATTGGGGGCATTATTTTAATTTTTGGGGGGCTTGAACTCAAGCTTGGATGCTGATGCTTTCCCTTAGCTTTTCTGCTCAAAGTTGACTACCACTAGAGCTACAGTTTCACTTTTGACCTTTTTCCTCCTGAGTTCACTGGAGATAACAGTTTCATAGGCTTTCCTGCCTGACTGGCTTCAAACCATGGTCCTAGGTTCTCAGCCTCTTGAATAGCTAGAATTATAGGCATAAATCTGGTGCCTGGCAATAGAAAAGGCTTGCTTATTATTATTATTATTGTCAGTCATGGAGCTTCAACTCTGGTCTGAGCGCAGTTACTCAGCTCTTCAGCTCAAGGCTAGTTCTGTATAATTTGAGCCACCACACCACTTCCGGTTTTCTAGTGGCTTATTGGAGATAAGTCTCACAGACTTTCCAGCCCAGGCTGGTTTTGAACTGTGATCCTCAGATCTCACCCTCCTGAGTAGCTAGGATTACAGGCGTGAGCCACCAGCGCCCAGCTATGCTTGTTACTATTTAAGTGAAAAAGCTGAGCAAGAGTCTGAGGCCCAGAGTTCAATCACCAGTACTGACATGTATGCACACAAAAGTATAAATCATAGTGGTAGCACTGGATTTTGTTATCTTTTCAAAAAGAGTCTTAAAGTGTAAAATTTTTAGTGATAGTGATTGAGTTTCATGGAAATTAACTTTTGCTAATCAGAGGCAAAGAAAAGACATTTACAAACAGTATCAATTAGTTAATTTGTAGTGAGAGTAATATGTAGCAGAAAATAAGAACTGATCGTCTATCTAGAACCCTCCTTTTCTAAAAGGCAGATCTATTGAATGAAGTCAATAAATAGAAAATTGATTTGATAGTTGGGTAATCCAAGAAGCTGGATCTGGGCTTGGAGGCATGGCTCATGTGTTGAATTGCCAGCCAATGAGCAAAGCATCAGCACCAAGTTTGAGTCCCTGCCTCATAACAACAACAATAAAAAAGAAGGGTCTATTTTTATTCTACATCCCATTAGAACTCTTATCATTAGACCTATTTGTAGGGAGGAAGAAACCTGTGAGATGATACTGGTAGACAAACTTCCGTTTTCACCTCTCTTTCTCCCTTACATGTGTTTCCTCCCTGCACCCTGTACTGAGGTTTGACTCAGGGCCTTGTGTTTCCTAGTCAGAGGCTCTACTGTGTGACCCTCTCCCTGAGTTCCTTCACATGTGATTCTAAGTAATTCTGTGATAGATAGAACATAGTGATTTCATATAAGAATACAGCAAAAGTGTATATGGAAGGCTTACATTCTTCTTTGGGATCTTACCATTCTTTGTGCAAAGCCAGACTCTGTTCAACCTGCAATTCTCCCACCATCACTCTGCCTTTGCTCTTTAATGCAGCAGCCTTTGCCTTGCTGTGAAACCCTTCCTAGGAAGGCGCCATCGTTTTGTTTTGTGTTATAAATCTCTGTATTTACTATGGGATGTCTTTTATTATTAAGAATTTAATGTGTCTTTAACTTTGCCATTACATTTATTAGGATCATTATAAATGAATGTTCTGCTTATAAAGCTGCATGCTGTAAGTGATCTACCCAATACTATTGTCCTGTGAGTTGCTTGTGCAGAAGCAGGCACAGGCTATGTACAAATTTATTATTGTGAGGATGGACAGCTCTTGTTCACTGACTGTGTTTCTGTTCCCTATAGTTTAAAAAACAAAGTAATCCCCTTTCTTTGCTGTTTTCATAGTTTTTGGACTTCTATTAACTATCTATAAATGTTAATTGAATGGGCTGTTTTTGGAATTCTTGTATTTTATCAAGTTTCCAATTGTTTTGTTTGTTTGTTTCATGCTGGCATTGAACCAAAGACCTTGTGCATCCAAGGCAAGCGCGCTCTCAGTGAGCTGCACTCCCCAGCCCTCCAATAGGCTCTTTTAGGCCTTTAGCTCTTTTTCATATCAAAAGATAACAATTATATTTCTGCTATATCCCAGTTTAGAAGCTAAGATGGGATCAATAAGTTTTCTTTTGTGTGTGTATGTATTAGTAAAAACCTATGGGGCTTTTAATAATGATTACTCTCAAGGTAGCAGCAGTACAGAAAGGAATTTCACAGGATCAACAGGTTTTCAAAATAGAATTTTTTTTTTTCTGTCGGTCGTGGGGCCTGAACTCTGGGCCTGGGCGCTGTCCCTCAGCTCTTCAGCTCAAGGCTAGCGCTCTACTACTTGAGCCACAGTGCCACTTCCGGCTTTTTTCTTTTTTGCTTATGTGGTGCTGAGGAATCGAACCCAGGGCCTTATGCATGCAAGGCAAGTGTTCTACCACTGAGCCACCTTCCCAGCCCCTCAAAATAGAATTTTTGGAGCTGATTTATTAGTGTTTTTAATTCAAATATTATTGAAGTTTCTAACCTAGTAAAAATTCTCCATTACTATGCTTGTAATCTCAATACTCTGGAGGCTGAAGCAGGAGAAGCATGAATGTGAAGCCAGTCTAGGCTACACAGTGAGACTATACCCCAATTCCCCACTTCCCAAAAAAGGAAATGACAATGTTTGCATTTTTGTGCTTTGGAACACTTCAGAGTTTATAAACAGTGAATTCTTAGTTCTTGCTATTTAAAGGTATGTTTTGTTTTTAAAGTAATTATTTTTATTATCTTTAAAGGTTTTAAATTCACCTTGTCAGTTTATGCATACAGTGCATTTTTTTTTTGCATAGTAGGGGGCTCAAATTCAGAGCCTGGGCACTGTCCCTGAACCTCTTCACTTGATCTTAGCCAAAAGGCCAAGAAGCAATATTCCTGAACTTCTTTGTGCTCAAGGCTAGTGCTCTACCACTTGAGCCACAGTGCCATCTCCAGCTTTTTCTAAGTACTTTATCAGAAATAAGAGTCTCACAGACTTTGGCTTCAAACTGCAATCCTTAGATCTCACCTTCTGAGTAGCTAGGAGTTCGGGTGTTATCCACCGGTGCCCAGCTTCATACAGTGCATCTTCATTAGTGTCACCCATTGCATCCTCTCAAGTTACCTGGTTCCATTTTTACATATGTACATTGAATATTATGACTATATCCAACCACTCTTCCTTTCTCCATTCATCTGCAAACCCCACCTGTTCTGACAAAAAAAAAAAGTGCTTTAGCTTCTTGAGATTCATTGTTATTCTGTACATTAGCTGTTGGGAGTTAATCTATAAAATGTTAAGTTTGCTGCTCTCTTTTTGAACATGATCCTAATTCAGATCTCTGCTTGGAATGTGACAAACTGTCTTTACCTTAGAGTTTTGGGTTTTTTGTGCCTATCTGGGGGTTTGAACTCAGGGCCTGGGAACTGTCTGTGGGCGTTTTGTTTTTGCTCAAAGATAGTGCTTTATCGCTGGTGCCACAGCTCCAATTCTGGCTTTATTTTTTGTGGTTGTTATGCTTAATTGGAGATAAATATCTCAAGGAGTTTTCCAGGCTGGATTCGAACCTGGACTCTCAGATCTGAACCTTCTGAGTACCTGGATTACAGGCATGAGCCACAGGTGCCCTGCTACCTTAGAATTTTTTTTTAAGTATTAAGAACTTGCTTTTAGAATGTGTTGCTGCATCTTTTAAGATTCTAATGAAACAATATGGTTTGATTTCTTTAAACAGGTGATGATGTAAAATGTAAAGATTATATTGTTGCACTGCAGCACCCTGTGACCACTGACATTAAGCATTCCATTAAAATGTTTGAATTGACACTGGATGCACTTATCTCGTTTAACAAGCGGACCCTAGTTCTGTTTCCAAACATTGATGCAGGTAATCGAACTTGAAAATGAAACTATGCAATCACCCTTTCAAATTTCATGTTTCTGTTACCTCTTCTTGACTGCCTTCTGGTCTTGCCCATTGTCAGTGAAAGCCACCCTGTTCAGAAATGCATTTCAATTTGCAAAAGATAATTAATTTTGTTATGGATCAAAGAGCTGTGATATTTTTGTCAAGTCTAGTAGAACCTTAATAAGAAAGAAATGCTAAAAAGTCTCAGACCTCCACTTTGCTCTCATTTAGTTCCTTCCTGCCAGTTCCCATCAAAAAAGAAATCGCAGGGGCTGGGAAGGTGGCTCAGTGGTAAGAATGCTTGCCTTGCATGCATGAGGCCCTGGGTTCGATTCCTCAGCACCACATAAGCAGAAAAAGCTGGAAGTGGCACTGTGTCTCAAGTGGTAGCACGCTAACCTTGAGCTGAAGAGGTCAGGGATCGCGCTCAGACCCAGAGTTCAGGCCCCACGACCGACAAAAAAAAAAAAAAAAAGAAAGAAATTGCAAAAGCACAAGTGGAAGTGTCTCTAAGACTGTAATAATGCCATAACCACAGCATAAACAGACATTATCATTATTTATTTGTGCTAATACTGGGCCTTGAGCTTAGGGTCTGGACACTGTTCCTGATCTTTTCCACTCAAGACTGATGCTCTAACACTTGAGCCATGGCTTCACTTCCAGCTTTTTGGTGGTGAATTGGAGATAAGAGACCCATGGACTTTCTGCCTGGCTGACTTTGAATCGTGATCCTCAGATCTCAGACTATTGAGTAGCTAAGATTACAGGTATAAGCCACATTTTCTTTGTTATTTATGTTTGCTATACTTCAATGTGATTTTTGAGCTTAAGCAGTTCAAATGTGGAGTCCCTGTGCATCGATCCTCAAGCCTGGCTGAGTACCTACTGGTGGATAGTGTTGTGGACCCTGGTGCTAGTGAGGCCTGAGGCAAGTTAACGGATCTGAGATGCCAGTGACAAGCTGTGGAGCAGGGCCTACACTGAGGCGTGTTCAAATACTGAGCATTGTTAGTTTAGCTGAGTATTTGTGATAAAAGATACAGAACCCTTTACAGTGCCAAGACGTTGCCATACTCTGAAAGAACCCCTCTCTGTGTCCCTCTGCTAGGAGAAACAAAACAGGATGTTAGCTTAAAAAAAACAACTTAGATTTTGTTCAGATAATGTCAGCATTTCAAAAGCCTTAATATCTTTTCTAATTCTTAAAATTCTATATAAATATTTATAATATATTTACTTATCTCCTCATCATATATTCTGTTTATAGTATACTTTCTTGATTGTGTATATTTTAGAATTAGGTATTTTTACTTTAGAAATAGATATTTTTCCCTCTATAAAAGAAAAGGGCCCAGCTATGTGTGGGGTCATAGAACTGTAGTCCCAGCCACTCAGGAGGCTGAGGCAGGAGGATCACTTGAGACAAGCTTGGACAGCTTAATGAAAAACCATCTCAAAGAAATAAAAACAAGAAAGAAATAAGAAAAGTGCCATGTGTATGTGTGTGTGTGTGTGTCCTGTGTCCTGTACATGTGCCAGTACTGGGGCTTGAACTCAGGTTCTTATGCTCTTGCGTGGCTTTTTCCCTCAAGGCACTCTACCATTTCAGCAACACCTCCACTTCTAGCTTTTGGCTGGTTAACTGGAGATGAATCTCTTTGATCTGTTTGCCTTGGCTGGCTTTGAACTGTGATCCTCAGATCTCAGACTCCTGAGTAGCTAGGATTACAGATATGAATGACCAACACCCAGCTCAGAGCCTATGCTTTTAAGATAATTGTTTAAATCCTGTCTGCCACTTGTTTCTGCTCTCCATAGGGTTTTTGATAAGTGGCACACAGAGAACTAACTTTAAAGGCACCACTGTATCATTATCTAGCTTGATGCCCCAGTTGTGCCTACGGTTCCCCTATAGAGAACCCTCTGGAAAACTGGATTAGTACGTGTGATTTGGGCTTCAGTCCAAAGAGGAGTCTTCAGCTAAACTCAGATCTGGATTTGGGAGTAACAAGTATGGAGCTAGTTCGGAGTCTGCTCTGGCAAGTCTGAGCGTAGAGAGAAGTGGCCAGTCCTGCTCTAAGGAGTTAACCTTGAGTGCATTTGCCTCCCTTAAAGACAGAGAACAGATGCATGCACACCTCCTGTTAAATAGATAGATGGCCTGTGCCCATAGTGAGCTTGCTGCAGTTACTGAGCTGCCTTCACCCACTCAGGTGAGCAACTTTCCCTGCCAGGGCTGGGAGCGAGGAATACAGAAGTAAACAGAGAAGCTAAATATTGCTTCTCCCTCATATGTTGTCAAATTATTTAAAAATCATGCATTTAAAATAAATGGTCAGCTAGAGTAGCAGAATCAACTTATATTTTCTTGAAGTTTAATCCATACCAACAGGAGTGCTAAACTATTAGCAAAAATGTGAGCATACTTTGATGGAGGCTGTCTGCTTAACTTGGTCTAGTGTAGTCTGTGACATTCCCATTTAGGAACTATAGGCCTATCTTTAGTCTCTTAGTTGTTGCTTAAGGTCAAAGTTTTTCCTGGGGTCCTAATAAAGGTTATTTGTTATGCTAAATTATGGTTTGAGAAAAGCCCCAGATGCTACTGTTTTGCGTTCCGGATGAGTTGAAGCAGAGAACTGGCCAGGCGTTGTAAATGCTTCTCACAAATGGTGGAACACATGCCATCATGCACAGGATACCGCACCCCGCTATGCGCCTGCACATCTACCTCACACACCCACACACAAGGATTGGGAGAGATGAGTGACGAAAACTACTGTTCTCTTAGCATAACAACTGGCATTCATTTTTGTGAGGCGTGTTCTCTAATTGGTGCTATACTGGCCAAGGAAATGATTTCTTTGTCTCTATGAACCACTTTAATTATTGGTTCTCTCCGTTTTCACAGGGAGCAAAGAGATGGTTCGAGTGATGCGAAAGAAGGGCATCGAGCATCATCCCAACTTCCGTGCCGTAAAACATGTGCCCTTTGACCAGTTTATACAGCTGGTTGCCCATGCTGGTTGTATGATTGGGAATAGCAGCTGTGGAGTACGAGAGGTTGGAGCTTTTGGAACACCTGTGATCAACCTAGGAACACGGCAGATCGGAAGAGAAACAGGTGTTTACCTCTTTGTGGTTGTTGGTGTATGTCTTAGCTGACCATGTTTTCTGTGTAGTAGTTATTACAAAGTACTCATGAATAAGTGCTGGGGCCTGTACTTTGTGAACAGTAGGCAAATAAACTGAATGACCAATAATTGTCTATAAATAGCTTTTAAGTAGCGCATGGTGAATATGGCAAGTTCTAGAGCTCTAGTTATATTTTTATTGTCTTTGTGCAATCAATTAGAGCTAAATGGTTCTTAGTTAATTATGGCCTTTAATGGTTTGTTTGAGCGATGATGTGGTTGAACATGTCATGAATTTATGAATGCTAATGTGTCAGTTTCTGGGCTAGAGTTCCTTCATAAGTACCTTAGAGTATGGCAGTTCTAAGCAAGGTGTCTGTTAATAATGAAAGTATAACTGAGCACTGGTGGCTCATACCTCTAACCCTAGCTACTCAGAAGCCTGAGATCTGAGGGTCGACGATGTTCAGAGCCAGCGTGGGGAAGGGCACTCCATGAGGTTCTCAATAAACTACTCAGAGAAAGCTGTGGTACTGTGGCACAAGTAGTAGAGAAAGAAGCTCAAGGACAGATTCCAGGCCCTGAGTTCAAGCCCCAGGACTGGAACCAACACACACACACACGCACACACACACACTAATGAAAGTACAAAGAATGGCACATTCTTATTAATGACTCTAGCTGTATATGCAAATACATATCTGTAGTATATCATTAATGAAAAAAACTGAACTAGAGCCAAAGAGATTAGTTCCAGCTCTGTTTTCTCCATCCTTTCTAATTGCCACCCTTACTTTCCCCCACTCCCAGTGTAGTACTATGCTCTCCATTTCATAGAGAAGATTATCAAGCATGTGATAGAAATTCATACTCAGTAAGCACTTGCCATGTACTAGACCTCTGGGATCATACAGTAAACTAGAATTACAAATGTGAGCTCTTAGGAAACTGGCACTCGAATGGGAGTAGAAACTGATAAACTAGCAGAAAGAAAAATACCAAGATTCGTATTGCCAGGAAGACTATAACACAAGATGATGTGATGGGCTACATTATTAGATTGGTAAAGAAAGGCCTCTTAGAGATGACACTTAAGCTGAGCTGCGAATGACAAGGTGTCCTGTGTGAGAATTATGGAGAAGCAGAGGGAACAGCTGGTGAAGGCATTATGCTACAGAAATCAAAGGAGCAGACTGGCTGAACATCAATGGGTAACAAGTAAAGGAGGCATAGATGAGGTAGGTTTTGGGTTTTTGCTTTTTGTTTTTCCAGTCCTGGGGCTTGAACTCAGGGCCTGGGCACTGTCCCTGAGCTTCTGTTGCTCAAGGCTAGCACTCTACCCACTTGAGTCACAGTGCCACTTCTGGTTTTTTTCTGTGTATGTGGTACTAAGGAATGGAACCCAGGGCTTCATGCATGCTAGGCAAGCGCTCTACCACTGAGCCACATTCCCAGTCTGATGAGGTAGTTTTGAATGTAGTGCTCTCTGTTGCTGAGTCAGCAGTCATAGCATGTACCATGCTCCTTTGGGGACTTCTTGTCTCAATGCTCACAGCAAGTCAGAAATACATTTCCTTACAGGTTCCCTCCTTCCTTCCTTCCTTCTTTCCTTCTTTCTCCCTCTCCTTTCTTTTTCAGTACTGGGGTTTGAAATGAACACCTCACACCTATTTGGAACACTTTCACCACCTGAGTCACACTTTAGCCTCCTAATACAGATTTTAATAACAAAGCAGTATTTGTCACTGGCTTTATCCTCTTTAGAATACTGTTGAGGGTCCATAAAATCTTTCTTTCTTGGGCTGGGAAGGTGGCTCAGTGGTAGAGCGCTTGCCTTGCATGCTCGAGGCCCTGGGTTTGATTCCTTAGCACCACATAAGCAAAAAGAAAAAAGCCGGAAGTGGCGCTGTGGCTCAAGTGGTAGAGCACTAGCCTTGAGCTGAAGAGCTGAGGGACAGCGCCCAGGCCCAGAGTTCAGGCCCCACTACCGGACCCAAAAAAAAAAAAAAAAATCTTTCTTTCTTAAGAACTTTTTTCCTAGTGCTCTAGAACTGTTTGTATTGTGTTGTATATGACTTAGTACTATACTTCAGACTAAAAGATGTAAGTGCTGTATAAAATCAGCCCTGTATGTTAAACTAGCACATCTGTTTTGTGTTTATCATTACTGTAAATGGAAAGGGCTTTTTAAAACTGAATTTTTAAATGAAAGCATTTGAATGCATTTTATTTGATATTGCATTTATTCAGTCAAGTATTTAATCATTTAATGAGCCATGTTGCTCAACCCTAAAACATGCAATCGTGTCCTAGGTAGACTCATGTCCTAATGAAGCTCGAAAATTAAAATTTTAAATTGGCTTTTAAAAACAGAACTCTAGTATCCTTAAGTGTTTGCTGTATGGAAATCTTTGCAATGTGCTGAGTTTCAGGATTAAATGACAAGTCTAGCACACTGCTAGCTTCTTTATTCTTGGGATAGTCATACTTCTAAATCATTGTGATGTCACTGGATTTACCTAGGGGAGAATGTCCTTCATGTCCGGGATGCTGACACCCAAGACAAGATACTGCAAGCGCTGCACCTCCAGTTTGGTAAACAGTACCCTTGGTGAGTTTCTTAAGTGGGGATCTACCTCTAGCCATCAATGTAAAGCTACTGGTAGTCATTGATCTGTCTTCATGGCAGAATTTCCTTGGCTAATGAAGAGAGAAGGGTGGCAAAAAACCATCCCCCTATATGCTGCCCAGGGTTCTTGTGTAGAATACTTTCGTCTCCATTAATGAGTGTAGGACTCCTGTTAGCCTAATTAGACTTTCTGTAAGAATTAGAAAATAACAATTGATACTCCCAAAAATAGTCTAAATCAGCATTTTTAGTTATAATTTTGACTGTCTTCATATTTCAAATTAAAGGTTTCTCAGAAATGTAAATAAGATTACTGAAACAGCAACACAAAACAAATGCAAGTTCTTAGTGACTATGTTGCTAAAGCAATCCTGTTATTTAGTTCTGTGTAATTATGATTTTTTTTAATTGACAGATTAAATTGCACAGCCTGATTTATCCTGTGCATGATTTTGTAAATACAAATATATGTGTATATGTTCACACACATTGATGGCTGTTTGTTCATTTATTTGTTATTGGTGGTACTAGGGATTGGACCCAGGGCCTTGTATATGCTAAGCAAATGTTTTACCAGTGAGCTATGTTCCCAACCTAGGGAAGTTACTTTAAAAAGAATCACAAACAATCACTATCTGAAGTTTCTGATTTTATTTAGCCATGCCCTCAACATCACACGATATGTATGCCAGAAGCATTTCATTTAATTTACTTTTTTATTTTTTGGATATTGCAGCTCAAAGATCTATGGGGATGGCAATGCGGTTCCGAGGATTTTGAAGTTTCTCAAATCTATTGATCTTCAAGAGCCACTACAAAAGAAATTTTGCTTTCCTCCTGTGAAGGAAAATATCTCTCAAGATATTGACCACATTCTTGAAACTCTGAGTGCCTTGGCTGTTGATCTTGGTGGGACAAACCTCCGAGTTGGAATAGTCAGCATGAAGGTAAAACCACTGCTAAGCTCCTAACTTTATATCAAAATTACTACAGATAATTAAAATTTAACTACTTAGAGTAGCTACCTAGATGCCTTAGTATTTAAAGAGAGAAGTTTTGCCAACCTGAAAGAATAATAAAAAGACCTCTTGTTTTGAGACAGAGGCTCACGATATAGCTCAACCTGGTCTTGAACTCAAGATACTCTTGCCTCTGCCTCCTGACTGTAGGGAGTATAGGCATGAAACACTATACCTGGCTAAAGTATGATCTTTTAATGAGCTAATTCAGATTAGTGCACATTCACCATTAGCTCAGGAGGGCTCTTTGGGAATTATCATTGCTGTATTCCTGGGCTTATCCCAAGCCATCATTTAAACCTGCTGCACTGTCTCATGCAATGCCTGACTTATTTGAAAAAGGCCACCAGATTCACAATATGCTGCTCAGCTAAGACCAGAGAGACAGATCTTAATCTTTTTTTTTCTTCTTTAGGGTGAAATAGTTAAGAAGTATACTCAATTCAATCCTAAAACTTATGAAGAAAGGATTAACTTAATCCTACAGATGTGCGTGGAAGCTGCAGCAGAAGCTGTGAAACTGAACTGCAGAATTTTGGGAGTAGGTGAGATAAGTTACAAACCCAAAAAATGTTCATCTTTATGGACAGTTTCCTGAGTTCTGAGGCTGACTCATTATCATGCCTGTGTGAAGATGGCATCAGGGTGTCTGCAGGGCCCAAGCATGGAGACTTCCTGGGAGAAGCAAGGACATTTCTGTAAATATCCATGCCATGGCAAAGTACAGATTAGTTCAAAACTGCCTGATAAGTCCTTGCAGATCTTGTGATGCTTGTGTTTAGGAGATCTCAGGTGAACTAATTTGTGTTGTTGGTCAAGAAAGTTGCTTCCCTGATTGCTAATTAGAATTCTCTTCCGCGTTTGTGATGGAGCTCAGGCATTTCCACAGGTGGCCGTGTAAATCCTCAGGAAGGAGTTGTGCTACATTCAACCAAACTGATACAAGAATGGAACTCTGTGGACCTCAGGACGCCCCTGTCTGACACACTGCATCTCCCCGTGTGGGTAGACAATGATGGGAATTGTGCAGCCATGGCAGAAAGGAAATTTGGTCAAGGCAAAGGACTGGAAAACTTTGTTACACTTATAACGGGCACAGGTAAGAGCTGCTTCCGTAACTAGAAATGGGGGCTGGGGATATGTCTGTAACTCTCAGCCAGGCAGCTACAACTCCGCCCCAGCCTTCCCAGGTCTTTTCTGAGCAGCCCTAGGTATGTGATTATTCTTCTAAATTCCTAGAAGCTTATCAGTACTACTTACTCTTCCCCAAAACTTCTGGTTTTGTCTCCCCATACTGAGGCTTAAACCCAGGGCTTCAAACTGGCTGGGATTTTTTAGTCATGGCTAGAGCTCTACCACCTGAGCCAGAACTGGCCTTTTGCTGGTTACTTGTATATAGAGTCTCTTGGACTTGTCTGCCTGGCCTGTCTTTGACCCACAATCCTCATATCTCAGCCTCCTGAGTAGCTAGGGTTACAGGCATGAGCCCTAAAAATAAAAATTTAAAAAGGCTACAGGCATGGCACAAGTGGTAGAGCAACTGATAAGCACGTGTGCAGGGCCATGAGTTCAAACAGCAAAACAACTAGAACAGAACTGTCTGCTTGGGTCTGCAGGCTCCGGCCTCCCCCGCTATGAGTTCCTCTGGGCAGTGGGCCTCCAGAATAGATGCAGCTCTCACCTTAATGTAGAAGACTGGTACACAGAAGCAGGCATTGGGTGCTCCTGGGGGCTGACCACCTTTACAAGGTCAGCCATACACACTCCACTCTCTGCAACAGTTGCATTTGAAATCATAGTTGGGCCACAGGGCATAAGAAGATGCACCAAAAGTATCTGCTTCCAGAATGCCACTGAATAAAGTCAAATAGCTTAGAAAGCTTCAACTGTCTAGAAAAATGGGCATTAGATAGGCTTCAATTCAAAAGTGTTACTATGGAGACAGGTGCCGGCAAATCATAGTTGTCTGACACCACTTACTCTTGTCTCTCCCTACAGGGATTGGCGGTGGGATCATCCACCAGCACGAACTGATCCATGGCAGCTCCTTCTGTGCCGCAGAGCTTGGCCACCTTGTTGTGTCTCTGGACGGGCCTGACTGTTCTTGTGGAAGCCATGGGTGTATCGAAGCCTATGCTTCCGGCATGGCCTTGCAGAGGGAAGCAAAGAAGCTGCATGATGGTTGGTATTTTTCCCCTGAGGAAGCCAGGCACCAAATGGTAGACAGATACTTCAAACCTGAAAACTCCAAGCTGGGCACAGGGGCTCACGCCTGTAATCCTAGGTACTCAGGATACTCAAACTGGAGGATCATGGTTTAAAGCTAGCCTGGGCAGCAAAGTCTGTGAGACTCTTATCTCCAGTTAACTAGCAAAATCCAGAAGTCCAGTTGTGGCTCAAGTAATTGAATGCTGTTCCTGAGCAAAAAATAGCTCAGGAGTTCAAGCCCTAAGACTAGCACAAAAACAAAACAAAAATAGAAACTCCAGAGGGCTATACCCTGAAGCCAGAAGTCTAGACCATTTTACTCCCCTCCTATGGATGTTCCTGTGTGTCTGGTCTAATATTATTATAACAGTGTGCATAATGCATTGTAAAGGCGGGCCATGGAATGTAACTGCATGTAAGGAGGACACAGAGTTCCTCCTACCTCTCTACACAGGGAAGGGAGTGCCAGGGAGCCATCCTTAGAACTGAGCATCAGGAGACATGCAATTAGCCAGGCAAGTTTGGCAGGGAGCTTCTTCCAGGCATGGAAGGGGACTCCACTGCAGAAATGACAAGACAGGATGTCGTGTAGTAAGAGAGGAGCAGGGCCAGCTGGTCAGAGAAACCATTCCACAGTTTTGGGAAAAAGACAGGATTCTGAATTTCATATTCTTTACTAAACTGTAACCTTGTTTCAACAGGGAGTGGGGTATTGGAGTTGAATAAAGGATGGCTTCAAAGTGGGTCTGGTCTAGAGTGACTCGGTTTTCTGGTTGGATAACTTGGAGTTGGGAAGAGGGCAGAAGAGAGCAAATAGGGGAGGGAGGGAGGAAGAAAGGGGTGGGGAGCAGTTGGATCTTAGGCCCAGGAGCATCAGTGGTATCTAGCTCATAGTGTTTAAGGTTGGGTTTTTTCTTCCAACCTCTAAGAATAATAGTTCCAGAGCCAGATACTAGTGGCTCACACTTGAAATCCTAGCTACTCAGGAGGCTGGGACCTGGAGGATGTAGGCTTGAAGCCAGTCAGGGCAGAAGAGTCTATAAGTCTCTGCAGTAATAACAAAATGCCTGCTTGAGCTGTGGCTTAAGTGATAGAGCACCACTAATAAGCATGAAAGCTGAGCAAGAGTGTGTGACCTGAATTCAAGCCCTGGGACCTGCCCACACACAAAAAATAGTTGACTAGGAGGCAGGTTGATCTGGGATGATATGTAAAGCAGCCTTCTGTTACTGTGACAGTATATTTGAGGTAATCAACTTAAAAAGAGAAGGGTTTATTTTGGTTCAGTTTCAGGGTTCGTCTGTGAGTAGTTGGTACTGTTGGATTTGGGCCTGTGACTTTCCAGTACATGAATCGTGGCAGTTGCATATGGCAGAGGCCTGCTCACCTCATGGTGGCCAGGAAACAAGAAAGAGTGTCTGAGACCCTTTAAAGGGCATGTCCCCAGTGACCTAACATACTCTTACTAGGCCCAGCCTCCCTGAAGCAGGGACTGCAGGCTAGTGACTCAGCTGTGACACCTAGGCCTTTGGAGGAGACTTCACTAAACCATAGCATACTGCCAGACAGTGTCTCGGATAATGACAGAAACGCATACTGCTTATTTGACTTTTACCTGGCCAGCACTATATTTTATGGCATTTATCTCATCTAACACCCCCCCCCCCAATAAACCTAGGTATTGTTGCCCCAGTCTTTTTTCTTTTTTGGTCATGGGGCTTGGACTTGGGGCCTTGGCAGAAGAATTCTTGCGCTTCTGTGCTCAAGGCTAGCTCTCTAACACTTTGAGACCCAGCTCCACTTCCGGTTTTCTGGTGGCTAATTGAGAGATAAGAGTCTCACAGCCTTTCCTGTCCAGGTTGGCTTTGAACTGTGATCCTCAGATCTCAACATCCTGAGTAGCTACGATTATAGGCCTGAGCCACCAGTGCCCGGCTTGTTTCCTCAATCCTGTAGAAAAGAAACCTGGAGGTAAAGTGCAGGGCAGGTCTGTGCTGCTAGGACTTGCTCCAGGCCTGTCTGTTCTTGGCCATCAAGCCCCATTGCCATAGACCAGGAGGCATGGTAAGCAGTTCAGCTATATATCTGGGACAGATCGGGGAGGAGCTGAGCGTGAGTCTGATAATTTGGGAGGATAAGAACATTTAAAGACAGATGAAAGTAAGGGAGCCAGAGAGGTAGGTAGGAGGCTACGGTGAGACTTGATTATTCTTCGGGTGGCAAGTTGTAGCAGTGAAAGGGCACTCTATCTAGATGTTTGGGAAGAAGAGACAGCTCTGCCCGTGTACGAACTCAGCTAAGATGTGCTGCCAGCAGGTGCAGTTGAAGAGGGGCCTCCCCATGGGCTGCCAGCTTGCTAATGATTGCTTCTCCTCACTTGCTCAGAGGACCTGCTCTTGGTGGAAGGGATGTCAGTGCCTAAAGACGAAGCCGTGGGTGCACTCCATCTCATTCAGGCTGCGAAACTTGGCAATGCAAAGGCCCAGAGCATTCTAAGGACAGGTGAGGCTATGGCTCCATGTACCTGTGTTGTAGAAGGCAGGCCTGGACATTCCAGGACTTGCACAGAGAATCCTGCTTCCCAGAGGGGAAGTCCGTCTTGTCAGTCCGCTGTATTGTCTGTTCAGAGGTATTTTTCCTACTTAGAAAGGAAAAGAAAATGCATTAAGAGTATTTGGCAGCATTGCCAATGCAAACAAGTTTTAATCTGTAATGAAAAAAAGTTTGTTCACATTATAGCCTATTTTAAGAAATACAGAAAAAGAGTTCTACTATTCCTAGATACTGACTATTCAGATTTCCTATCAGGCACCCGGGGCTTATGCCTGACAAGTACTCAGGAGGTTGAGATCCAGAGAATCCAGGTTCTAAGCCAGCTCAGAGCTACTAGATTCCATCTCCAAAATAATCAGGGAAAAGCAGGGCTAGAGGAGAGGTTCAAGTGCTACGACAGTGCCAGTTGAGCAAGTGTGAGGTCCTGAGTTCAAATTCTGGTAGTGGCAAAAAATTTCCTTCCAGTCTTTCTATTCATTTTTTTCTATAGTTTCTTTTATAGAGTTGAGATTTTATGTAGTTTTTTTTATTGAATAATTGAACCCAGGGCTTTGGGAATGCTAGACAATGCCCTATCACTGGGTCTTGCTTTGTTTCACAAAGTGGTCCTTACATAGAGTGGAAGGGAGGGCAGGTGGCTATGAGGTAAGGGAAAATAAGAGAATTATCAGTTGGTATCTAGGTAGCAGCCTGCGGAGCAGGGATTTTCTCCTCTGGAGCCCAAGTATCATAGTAGAAGGCCGATAAATCTGGGTTGGGTGCGAGCAGTCCTCCTGCCTCAACTACTTATAGTCCCAGCTACGTGCTGCTTTTATGCTTCCCTCCCCCAGTTCTTCACTTTATCATATCATTTTTAGTAAGACTAAATCATGATACACTCCTGTAGTCATAGCAACTCAGGAGAATGAGGCAAGAGGATCGCTTGAGCCTAGGAGTTCATGGTCAGCCTGCGCATCAGAGGGAGACCCTGTCTTAAAAAGAGAAAAGAAGGGCTGGGAAGGAGGCTCAGTGGTAGAGCGCTCGCCTTGCATGCCTGAGGCCCTGGGTTCGATTCCTCAGCACCACATAAGCAAAAAGAAAAAAGCTGGAAGTGGCGCTGTGGCTCAAGTGGTAGAGCTCTAGCCTTGAGCTGAAGAGCTGAGGGACAGCGCCCAGGCCCAGAGTTCAGGCCCCACGACCGGACCCCCCCCCCCCCAAAAAAAAGAAAAGAAAAGAAAAAAGCTGCAAGTCCACACTAGTCATCCCATGAGGGAGAAGAGTGAGCTGGGATCAGCCTGGACTACAGAGAGGGTTCCTGGGTTACACACACTGTCTCAAAAATAATTAAAATTTAAAAATAAATCACAAGCCGTGATTTTAAAATCGTGCCTCCACTACATAGTCTGAATGTACTTAACCGTGGCTAGCTGCTAGCTCTTTTCTTTCTTCCTCCTTGGCATTTTCAACTCTCTCAGAAGCTCACATTTTGTTTTCCTGTAGCTGGAACTGCTTTGGGACTTGGAGTTGTGAACATCCTCCACACTATGAATCCTTCCCTCGTGATCCTCTCTGGAGTCCTGGCCAGTCACTACATCCCCATTGTCAAAGATGTCATCCGCCAGCAAGCCTTGCCCTCTGTGCAGGATGTGGACGTGGTGGTGTCAGATCTGGTTGACCCCGCTCTACTCGGTGCTGCCAGCATGGTTCTGGACTACACAACTCGCAGGATCCACTAGGCCTCCCACGCGTAGAATGGACTAAGACCCAAGAGCTCCTCAGAGGAATCAAGTTCTCTTTTAGATGAGCATTTCTTTAAAAAGCAGAATGGTACCAGAGGCATGGCTCGGGGTACAGTGCCTGCCTAGTAAGTGCAAGGTTCTGAGTTCAAATCTCAGTAGCACCAAAAAAGAGAAAAGAAAATTTGATTCAACTTCTGGTGACATTGGCAGCCAAATGTTTTTGCCTTTTGTCTTCGCTTCCAAAATTCCCTTTGCCAATGTACATGTCTGTAGATGCAGCTTTACTTCGTGTTTCCCTGGTACATATCATTTTAGGGCAAACCTTACAAATTCCAGTCACAACTTCCTGTGCTACAAAAATACACCAGGAAGCCTTTAGACTCCACTTACTAATGTGCTGCTTAGACACCAGGTCTTCCTCGAGTCAGGAGCTTTAATAATCCTTCCTCCTCCAAGCTTGGACTCCAGACCACAAAAAGGGATTCAATCAGGACAGAAGAAAATCTTACCAGGAAAGGATTACCTACACTTTTTCCAAATGGCTTTATTGAAGTAGTTTTTCAAGTATATAATTTGATGTTTTAATTAATGTATATACCTGTGAAATCACTGCAATCAAGATATTGAGCATATCTGTCACCCCCCCAAATGTCTTTTTGCAAGGTATTTTACTCTCATGGAACTTGTTAAAGACTTTAGGGATCTGAATTACAATGGCCTCAGTGACCTTGTCCTTATCTTCTTAGGGACTTAAAGCCTCTGAAAGGCAGCTGTCCTCAGATCCACGCCACTGACCAGCAGACTTGGCTCCCTTCAGCAGCTTTTCATGCTATGTTCCTGTAACCCCAGAGATTCTATGATGGCAGTGTTTGTATGTTTTATACCTCGAGTACAGATCTGTGAATCTGGATTCGGACTAAATAAGAATCTGTGCCTTCTTGTTGATGGCAAAACAAAAAAATGGAAGTTCTGCCTATTAATTGCAACCTGGAAGTGTCAGCCACAGTTTACTAAGTGCCTACTGTGTCCCAGGATCTCAACACGTGCTTCATATACCTTATCACAATCTATGAGATAGATATTTGAATTTTATAAACCCCAGATTTAGTATGAGTTCCATACCCAAAGCCATGGGGCTAGTGAGCTTTAGCTTATGAGCGAAGGTTCCTCTGTGTTTTCTGATAAGCCAAACTTATTTAAAGAACTTTCTGAATGCCAGTATCTCCTCATGTTACTCTAGGCTACCAAAAGTTTTAAAAGAATATCTGGGGCTGGGAAGGTGGCTCAGTGGTAGAGCGCTTGCCTTGCACGCATGAAGCCCTGGGTTCGATTCCTCAGCACCACATAAGCAAAAAGAAAGCCGGAAGTGGCGCTGTGACTCGAGTGGTAGAGTGCTAGCCTTGAGCTGAAGAGCTGAGGGACAGCGCCCAAGCCCAGAGTTCAGGCCCCACGACCAGACCCAAAAAAAAAAAAATGTATAAAAAAAGAATATCTGATCTACAAATGACTGTTTATTCCAGAAGTCCTCATCAGCTGTGAATTTAATCAGTATTCCTCTCTACCATATTCCTCACCAGAACAGTATTTGGTGTAGTGACAGTATTTTTAAATTATCTAAAAAAGCATCTGTGCATATTTTTCAATTTTTTTATTTTAGGAAAACGTTTTTATAATGTATTGTTCAGAGCTGACACATAAATTGAGCTGAAGGATTCAATATTGAATGTTTTCCTTCCTGATGAGTTAACATTAAAAGACAGGTTGGTTGACTCCTAGAACTCTGCCAGCTCCCTACATCATCTCCAGGGACTGGTTACTGTTGGGACAGTCCATGTGACTGCTGGGCAGAAGGCGTTCTGCCCAGGTGGCAGTGTCTGGCGCAGATGGTACACACAAAGAGCATCAGTCATTCCTTGGTTAACCCCATAGGCACTGTGCACCAAACAACTGCATTGCTACCAAGTTTCATGCCAAGTATGTGACAGGATGATACCAAGTTAGAAACCAATTCTTAGTTTTTGCTAAATCCATGGAAAGACTAATATATTCTGACAGATTATTACATATGACTAACATCTTTATTTAATGTAAATATTTTCATGTGACTGTTCTGAGCCAAATTCTAAAGAAAAAAAATATTGTTCATTTCAACAATACTGTATTTTGGTTTTTTTCCCCCCCTTAACTCACTAGCTAAAAGATTTCTCTTTCCAGAAAAGAAATGGCTCCCTTGGCTTTTTGAAGTTATATAAAGCACCTGATAGTATTTTTTTTTTTTTTTAGGTCAGTTGTAGGATTTGAACTCAGGGCTTGGGCACTGTCATTGAGCTTTTCTGCTCAAGGCCAACCTAGCTCTACCTTTTTTTTTTTTTTTGGTAAAGGTGATGTACAGAGGGGCTAGTTACATAAATCAGATACTTGAGTCTTTTTTTTGGCCAGTCCTGGGGCTTAAACTCAGGGCTTGGGCCCTGCCCCTGAGCTGCTTTTGCTCAAGGCTAGCACTCTACCATTTGAGCCACAGCGCCACTTCCAGCTTTTTGTTTATGTGGCACTGAGGAATTGAACCCAGGGCTTCCTGCATGCTAGGCAAGCACTTTACTACTAGGCAAACACTCCCACATTCCTAGCCCTATTATTTCCTTCTTAACAACAACAACAAAACCCAAGCCTAATAGAATTGCTATATAATATTTAAAATCTGACATAAAAAGAAGTGGCTTTTTTTGTGTGTGCCAGTCCTGAGGTTTGAACTCAAGGCCTGGGCACTGCCCTTGTGCTTTTTTTTTTGTTGTTGTTGGTCGTGGGGCTTCAACTCTGGGCCTGGGCGCTGTCCCTCAGCTCTTCAGCTGAAGGAGAGCGCTCTACCACTTGAGCTACAGTGCCACTTCCGGTTTTCTGGTGGTTTATTGGAGATAGGAGTCTCACGGTCTCTCCTGCCCGGGCTGGCTTTGAACCGCGATCCTCAGATCTCAGCCTCCTGAGTAGCTAGGATTACAGGCGTGAGCCACCAGCGCCTGGCTTGTCCTTGTGCTTTTTGTGTAAGGCCTAGTGCCCTAACATTTGAGCTACAGCTCCACTTCCAGGTTTTTGGTTGTTAATTGGAGTCAGCTTTGAACCGTGATCCTCAGATCTCTGCCTCCTGAGTAGCCAGGGTTACAGATGAGCCATCAGCACCTAGGTAAGCAGCTTCTTTTAACTAAAGTTTATTTTTTTTTTTTTTGGTCGGTCATGGGGCTTGAACTCTGGGTCTGGGTGCTGTCCCTCAGCTCTTCAGCTCAAGGCGAGCGCTCTACCACTTGAGCTACAGCGCCACTTCCGGTTTTCTCGTGGTTTATTGGAGATAGGAGTCTCACGGTCTCTCCTGCCCGGGCTGGCTTTGAACCGCGATCCTCAGATCTCAGCCTCCTGAGTAGCTAGGATTACAGGCGTGAGCCACCAGCACCCGGCTTAACTAAAGTTTATAACTAAAGGCTGAGCACCCACTTCGACCAGCTAGCTCCATCCACCTAAGTATCTCTGTTTGAAACAATCCTGTTTTATCTGTTAACAAAAAGATCTGAAAATATCAATAATTGTTTTCACTTTCAGTTTCTGTGGGTCAGGAATTTAGAAAAAGACTATTTGGTAGGTCTGGCTCAGTCTTTGCACTGTAGTTACATAGTGACTGGCACTGAAATAAATAGCAGCAGGTAGCTGGGAGTATTTAGCAATTGGGCTTGCATTTCTTTGTGTAAATAGTTACAAGGTCTCTGGATGGGCTGGTTTGGGCTCCCTCAGTGCATAATAGCATGGTGAGAAAGCTTATTTGTTGGTTGTAGGACTTGAACTCAGGGCCTGGCACTATCCTCAAGGTTTTGTGCCCAAGACTAGCACTCTACCACTTTGAGACACAGCTCCACTTCAAGTTTTTAGGTAATCAATTGGAGGTAAGAGTCTCATGGATTTTTCTGCCCGGTCTGGCTTTGAACCAAGATTCTCAGATCTCAGCCTCCTGAGTGGTTAGGATTACAGGTTTGAACCACCAGCACCCAGCAAGGTAGAGCTTTAATAAGGTGGCTCAGAGCTACCAGCTATTGTGGTCCAACTAATTAGCAGTAAGCTATGTTGCTTTTAAGACCTAGCCTTGGGACTCACACAAGCTCTTTCATTTTATTGTCTAGTTTTTGTGGAATTGGATTTGAAAATGCGGCCTTGCACTTGGTAGACAGGTGCTCTACCACTTGAACCATGTCTTGATCTAGATGATATAAAATCTTGTTACGTTTTAAAACTGCATATCCTCCCTCAAGAAGCCCATCAGGTACAGGAGGCAAGACTGTCCAAACAGTTGCACCAAGTAAGTTACAGCCGCGTGCTGATGGCTCACATGTGTAATCCTATTCAGAAGACTGAGATCTGAGAATCCCAGTTCAAAGTCTGGGCAGGAAAGTCTTGAGATTAACTTCCTCTAAATTACCAAAAAAGCTGGAAGTAGAGTTGTGGCAAGTGTAGTGTACCTTGAGCCTTGAGCAAAAAGCTCAGGACAGCACCCAGGCCTGAATTCAAGTCCCAGGATGGACACACTTACCCCTTCCCCCCCAACATACACACAAAGAAGTTATGTCAGGCAGAGGGTTACAGAGTTCAGGGGAGGGAGCAAAGCATCATTGACTTGGCTTTTGGATTGTAACATTTTGAATGGCAATAGAAATGCAGAGGGAGCTAAAGAAGAGGAACAAAAGAGGCCAGAAAACAAGGAAATGCTCACTAGGAAGCTGAGAAGAGAGGAAAGAAAGCCCTTTTCCCATACAAATATTAAAGTGCTGAGAGATAGTGGACCTTTTCCTTGACCATGGCAAGACTAACCTACTTTCTGAGCATACTACTAGTGTTTTCCTTAATCTCTATTTTATAAATACCAGGTGACAAGACCAAGGTTGCTACAGATGACTTTAATTGCTTAAAACAGAATTTAAAAATGCCATATTCTACAAAGGTGTTCTTAGGGCAGAGAATGAACATGTGGGGCAGTCTGCTGGCAGTAACTGTAAACTGTAAATCAGCATGTTCTAATACAGCTTTCTGGGACAGCAACCAGTTGCACTGTTCAACTCAGACACATAGTGGACATATTAAATGTGACTACTGCCAAAAATGTTTTTTTTAATAGCTACATATATCTAGAACTGCATGACTACACTAGATGAAGGAAGTTTACAATAGAAATAGGAACCAAGTATCCTTGAGATGGCACACATCCAATATGTGCTACGGGAATTGAGGGACAGAGCTTGTCACACACACGTTGTCCAGACTCAGGTTCAATTACTGAATCCAACGGATGGTAAAGGTCTCACAACAAACAATACCAAGACAGATTCCTAAACTAACAGATAATGATGAACCCACCTTGGAGAAAATGCCTTAGGTTGGTGGGAAGATTTACAGGTGTCTTCCGGAAACAATTCAGGTCACCTTTTAGTCAATGAATTTACTTTTCAAACAAAAATTTCCAAAGAATTTCATAGAAGAGAGAAATGTGGAGCTATTTTAGTTTAAATGGGGGTAGAGATCCCTAGAAATGATGAAATTAGTTCTTCATCCCTTTAAGTATGCTTCCAAGCTGCAGCACAGCTAGAGGTCAATAAAGAAGTTTCGTGTATAATGTTTGAAACAAATTTATTCTCAGAATAATGCACAAAAGCACAGGTTGAGGCTACTGGTGGGAGTGTCCCTCCCCACTCTTTCTCCTCTCCCTTACTCGCTGAATGCCAGGGAGAACACAATTGAAGGAAACATGCAATCACAAACAATGATCAACTCTAAAGACAAAAGGTTTGGTCCAGAAGAACTCAACATAATTAATCCAATTACTGTGAACAGCCTCACTGAGCAGGATTAAGATATTGCAGATGTAGTGTTTCCACAGGGTGGCTCTTCAGTGCACCAGGGGGGCCTGCTTGAGGGAGATGAGGACTGAGCGCATGCGGGAGACGTCTTTGGCCTGTTTGCTGGACTTGGGGTTAAAGTCACACAGCCGTGCCACCCGCTCCCATTCAGTGCCTGGGGATGATTCATCAATGTCGTTTACAAAGGCTTCTTCTGCTGCCCTAGAAATGGTAACAAAACATGTTGGTTTAATGTAGAAACCCCCTACAGAGCAAGCTGGTGGCTGCCTTGCTACACAACAGTGTGGGCCTTTTCACCCCTGACTTGATGGCATTCTGGTCTTCCCAAGGCTAAGAGCACCTGGCCCGGGTCAGATTCAAGGGTGGCCAGCTCTCCT